ACATCTCAGTAATTCACATCCATTTCAACCTCCACGTTACCGTAAGTTACCTCTGCCAGAACTTTTTTTTTTTCATGTTGAGGAGGACCCCCATTTTTAACACAAAGGGTAATTGGTGTGTCCAGGTTGTGCTGTGCCCGATCGACACAGCATCCGACTGAATCACGGGAGAAGGGTGACTGTAAAATTAATAGAAAAGACTGTTTTGGATGAACCAGGTCCGGAAACTTACCGCCTTTGAAGGTAGTATAATCACTTTCCGAAGTCGCATGCCATTGCTATGGATCGTTGGTAGTTTCTCAGCAGAAATCTCACGTCACAGCTAGAGCACCGCGGGCTTGATGAAAACATTGCTTGGGTTCTTACCTGTACTATTGATTCTCGGTGCAAGAAATCTGATAGATGATTACTCCGCACAGGTTAGCCTAACAATGTAGACTTTGGATTCAGATCGGCGACAAAGAGCATTCAAGTTGTACCGGAGGCTGTCATAATTATTTTACAAAAACACCGACTTTTAACGAAATTGCCGCGTGCCGAATTGAGTAATTTCTGCAAAAGAAGTGGAACAGGACGCCAAGTCACGTGGTGCCGAGAAGGGGTGAAACCGAGATCATGGCCAGTAGTATGAACAAAGGAGACGATGGAGTCGAGTCGACCGCGGTCAGTAAATTTTTATAGTGAGTATTGAATGAGTTCTGGAAGTTGACAAAAGCGGCAAAAAGATGGTCATGTGACTATGAGTTACTAAAAGAGGAAAGTGGTTGGTGGTAAGGCTATGGGGAATCCCTGGGGATTCCCCCATGCCGTTTATGCCGATGAAAATGTTAGTCAAGTAATTAAGGTTAAATCTGTGAAAATCAGACAAATTTGACGGGTAAGTCAATCTTAACAAAAAAACGTCCAAGATCTAACGGAGCGCGAACTGTTACTAAAGACTACGAAGCGGGCTCGGAGGCGCTACAATTTTGTAAGTTCTTCCAATTCAATCAACTCACTTCAACCCTTAGCATTCCGGGTGGCTAGACACGGTATCCCCTGTTTTTGTCTCTAAGCGGAATATGTCAACCATGTCCGCCAATTTTACACCTCCAAGCAATACATACGACATTTCCTTTTTATATATCTTCATAATCCCGACACCTCTATCTCTGGTCCTCCCGAACTGAAGTTCTCTTCTCCTCATGGCCCTTTATACTCCACCATCTCTACCTTTAACTCCCTGCACAATGGGCTCATCATCACGTCCCTCACTCCCCACTGAACTCCTAGCCACCTGGTCAGCTTGGCGTCCTTTGGGACAGACAGGTCTTCTGACTCCCCCAATGTCAGCTTCTCTACCAAGGCTCGGTGCACCACAGGTGACGTCCTTGCCCCCCATTGCTCACTTTGATCGTCAGGTATCCTACATGCATCCCAGTACGTGTTTTTTCGCTCTTGTTGTCACGATTGGTTTTTGATCTAGTCAAAGTAACACCTCCGCGTACTCAGGACGCGTCCACCTGGTCGCGACCAGTACACGTCGCGAACGTGTCACCTGAACCGTTTGTGCACGAGATGGACCAGCATGTACATCCCTTTCAGCAAAAGCCTGCTGAAGATGTCCCTCGGCCAATTGATTGGTTTGACGACTCTTTAAAGAGATCGTCACATTATATCGCAGAGAAAACTTGCGAAATGATATGCTACCTATGGTTCTCTGTCTCACTGTCGAGCTCTACATCTACCCAACCCCTCACTCCTCCCTATTCCCCTGAAATTCCTGCCGCCACCTCCTCTCTTCAGCTTGCTGCAACACCTACCTTTGTGTCTTTCATGCAGAAGTTGCTAGAAACTACCCAGGTCAGCCAGTCGGTGATCGTCTTGTCTCTCCATTACATATGGCGACTCAAGGAACGTAACCGTTTCACCGCTGGTTTACCGGGAAGTGAGTTTCGCATCGCAGTCGCCGCGCTCATGATGGCAAATAAATTTCTTGACGAGTGAGTTCAATGTGCCTATTTACGTCATTGTGTTCTCAAGTATTATTCTAGCAACACGTACACCAATAAGACTTGGTCGGAGGTTTCTGGTATCGAATTGGCTGAAATTTCCCGAATGGAGAAGGAGTTTCTGATGGGAATCGACTTCAATCTTTACATCTCGAAGAAAACGTATGATTCATGGATGCACTTATTGAGGGGACTTGTCCACGCCAAAGAAAGGGAGTGCCGTAGATGGCGTCATACTCGCACCCGGCATCGGACGCCTCGTTACAGCCATACTCAACCGATGTCCGCAGCACCAATTCGTTCCTACAGATGGAGGTGTCACTCGACATCGCATCGGGCACGTTCAACCTCGCCTGAGCAACCCGTTCATCCTCGTACATATTCATCCTCTTATCACGTGACACCATCCAATCCCGTTGTCTCGCCGTGTCTTGCACCCGGTTTGAAACGCTCGGCTGCTGATGCGTTCTCACCTACTTCGTCATCGTTCCACGAGTTACCGCCCTTGAAGCGTCCCACTGGCATGACTTTGCAAATTCCGGAAACCAATTATCCAGCTGCCCCTCATTCGGCGTCACCAGTTGAATCTCTGCAGTCCTTCGCCAAGATGTCGTTATCATCAGCATCATCGCCACACTCGGTACGGACCGCACAGTCCAATCAGTCGCACAAAGGCGATACACGCCCGCAAACTCTGGTGGCTGCGTACTGTGCGGAAGGACCCGTTAACGTCCCTCAAGTATGTGCTTTCACCCTAATCCATAAAATTTGTCTCACATTCGTGGTAGAACCTTTATTATTATTCGCTTGCTGGGTCATCAACTGACTATGCAGCGGAAGAGGAAAGGGTCCGGCGCAAAGCCCGATTGCGGTGCTATCAGCCTCAGCCTTCGTCTGCGCCATCTAATCCGCCCCCATCATACATGCCACAGAACATTCAGTCCGAGTCTGTCAGCCCTTACGAAATACATGTGGACGTGCGAGCGGTGCCTCTTCCTCACCTACATGATGCTGTCTGGTCTCGTAAGCTTGCTCGTCCTCCTTCGTATGGCGAAAGTTCTTTGCAATTACCTCCTTTACGGGAAAACGCAGTTCCGTCGGCTCCTTTCGCCAACGCAGGACCACCTGGCGTCCATTTTTACTCAGCTTCTAGTCAGCGGGAATCACCCGTATATCCTTATAATTGGTCTTATGGCAGATAGTCCTACTCATTTCTGTTTATTGCACACAATTATTGCATCTCATCGGTTCCCCTTTCACATCGAACCTTCAACTTACTTAGCACTTTGGCCATATCATTTCGTTGCACGCAATATCATTCATTCATTGACACTGACATACATTCTCGGCATTTTCATTTGTATTTCACTTACATTTCCACGTTCTGTTAGCAGAGATCAAGAATTTACATTACCCTCATAGTTAGCTACTACTGTACGAGAAAGAATGATAAATCGACCATACTTCGAACTTCCGACTTCCGAACTCGTCGGAACTCGTGGGATTACTTATGAACCAATTACAAGCTATATGATATGAACCTGATGTGATGTACTTATCAAGTCTACTAACAACGGCAAGTTGGCAACTGTGCTGTTATTGGTGCGGCCTGACAGATCTATGACCGAAACAGCCTAAAATTTCGATGCCAATGATCTTCCGAGTCTGGAAGCGCATGTGCGCAGAAGCCATCTTTTTCCCGCATAGGTCAGTGAGAAATGACGGTATCATGCCTGATCATGCTCAGTTCCGCACTCCGCGGTCCACCCTGTCATCGGAGCCCTGTTACAGATCGCTCGCAAGACTTTTGATGTCCCTGCTAAAAGTACGAGTTGATCTGCGTGGATATGTCACGGATGGGCTCCGTGTCCGTCCGACACGTCCATTTCCCATTACTTTGTGCCCCTATGTCCTCATTGTTAACAGACTCAAGTTCTGGAAGTGGTTCTCACCGTAATGGAACGGTCCAGCTCAGAAATAGGTTTGGCCGGGTGTGACGAGACAACCTAACTTCATACGAGAATTTTTAGCGTTCATCCCGGAGTAGCCCATCACTGCAACCAGAATGGCATGTGTAGGCATCTGAATGTCAATGAATCAGACGGATACCGGTCTGATAGATACGCATGGATCTTTTCCGTCACACAAAAGCATCGACGGTTCATGTCGGACTTGTTCCTTACCACGCCTAGTAATAGCGTGTAGGCCATTTGGAGTTACATTTGACAGATTTCGACGCCTGATACAAATGCCATGTACGACTGCCAACTCACAGGTTAATAATGATGGCCTTCCGAATTATTTGCGGGGCCAGGGGTCGGTTTCAGTGTCTGATGAGACATATTTTGATCTCAATTGAGCCAGGTTGGAGGACAGGAAAGCCTGGGTGAAGAAGTAACCGGATAACAAACCCGTCACTAAAGACAAGTTCGTTTCGATTCGATCGAATTTCATATCAGTCATGACTTAGTATGGGCGATGATTCTTGACTCACAAGCACCACTGATAATAGTTTTATTCCGGCCAAAGCCCATAGATTTGGAGCCTACTAATGCTGTGACGCAACCATTAGTTATCGGACGTGTAAGGGACATGGCATAATATCAAAACTTACCTCCTGCCAGGCCCGACGTCAAGCCAGCGAATATCCCGTCTCTGCGAGCCTCCTGCCAACGATATACCATCATTTCAACGTTCCAAGCAAAATAACACGAACCCTCCATGCGGCCGCTTTGATCTCATCCACACCAGGCTTGTGATCCAGCTCCATTGTCTGTGTTTGATCGTGCAGCAACAAGGCGGCGGCCGTAAGCGAAATTCTAAAATAATTTTTGAAGGGGTAAACTCGAAAAAAAATCAGAAAAGGGTCCAATGAGTTAACCGACCGGATTTGGAGTTACAACTTTGATTTGAACGCGTTTTGTCACGCCACGGGTACGCGTTACGTTGTGACGAGACGCGCTTCTACGCCTTTACTCCCGTTTTGTTATCAGGATTCAGAATAGTGTTATGTCCCCTGGAGGGAAGAAGAGTCGGGCTCGGAGTCCACAGGAACTTTATGACGAAATAAAAGGTATCAATCTCCGGCTCCCATCAGACGCATTCATACATCTAACGTTTCCCACTGTAACCCAAGAACTCTTGATCAAGACAAAACCAAAGCTAAAGGACGGAACTACCAGGGATGAAACCATAACGAGGGAGTTACATAAGATCGCATCGCTTGCACAGACATTCACAGAACAGCGCCTAAAGTTGAGCAAAAAGAGCCAGTTATCAGATTTCCTTGATCAGGAAGGTTCGTATCATTTTCGGCATCTGTGCGAACAAACATGAAACCCAAGTGTCTCGCTTTAGGTGTCAGCCTGTGGAATGCGTCCGGTGCGGATCCGTCAAGGCTCTGCACATGACAGCCGCGTTGTCGTCGCCGCTTGTATGCTTCTTTGTTTTCTATGATTGGTCTCACTTTAATCCAGGCTTGCCAGTGCGGCTAGCTGGATTTCGCCTCATGGAAGCAGGGTTAGAACCTAAGCCTGGGACTGAAGGTTGGGAGAAGATCAGAATTCTTGCGTGATTGTCGCTCATTTATGTTCTATCAGCATTATTACATATTCTTCAAATCGCGAGTAAGACTGGCGCAACCCTGTCCGGTGTGTTTTGAGCCCAATATCTCGTATCTCCAAATATCAACATTGCGGCCACGGATCCAGAACTCGGCCACAATGACACTGCATCGGGCGTGCTGAGTTGTGCGGCGAAGGTGATATATCTTGCTAGTGGTGGTTCGTTATTAATTTTCTCTCAAAGTATGAAGAAGCGCTGAGAAATATTGACGACACGAGTGGCACAAATCAGCAAGCCAGGGCATGTGTTACAACTGTCTACCTCTCAACTAGAATGGAAGCAGTGAGGACTCTAATCCTCGTGATGTAGAGGCGTTGATATATTTAGGACCTCGTGAAATAGGCTTGGAGGGAAGGAAATGAAGGGTTAGCGGCCTTTATGGCTGACAAAGTCACAGGTTGTCCCTGAGTCCTTTTTGATATGAACCGCTCTGATTGTCCTCTTAGAGAATGACGGACGGCTCGTGCTCCTTTCAAATCATGACGTAAGTCCTATTCAGTCAACAAACTTCTCATGGTAAACATTTTCAGCGAGAGACGCTGGCGACTAAGCTTCTTGACATTGGCAAATCACTTTTGAGAAGTTGCTATCAGGATAACAAATTGACACCAGAAGAAAGTAAGGCTAACGAGGCTATTCGATGGATGCAGAAGGCTTTTTCCGTCATCGAGCCTCTGGATTGTACGGCCAATGCCGGGCTCGCTGAGCTCAAGGTGAGCACTTTCAGTCAGCTAGTCACTCCTCATTGAACTCTAGTCAGAGATCGGTTCTCAGGAGTCTGGGTAAGTGAACTTGACTCCATTCTCCAACGCAACAGGGCTCTGATCGGCCCCCTATTAGCCCGTGGCTACTTCTTGTCATCATCCCAGGATCCAGAGAATTTGATCAGAGCGGAAACCGCGCTAGAAGAAGTTATTGCAACTATCGATTCTTCTGTAGACAACGTAAGCACAGTACTGCCAGTGACATGCTCAAGCGGCATTTACACACGTTCCTGTAGGTAAGCTCCGAATACCAGCAACTCCGATGGATGAAGTTGGCTGTCATAAAGCGGCGGAAAGCTGGAGATACTGTTCTTCTTCAAGGTGAACTTTCCTGGACCGGCATCTTCCACATATAGTGGCGAGTTGGCTTACTCACGTTCTTTCATTAGCTTTACAAGCCATCATTGACAACCTGACATATTCAGAAAGCAATCTTACCGAGTGAGTTTATGGGAATGCTGTAATATGTTCCGTTTCCTCATATCACGTTTCAAAGTGTCCTACAGGAACTTCGGACGCTTTCTCAGCATCAGTAAGTTGTCCGATACGGTGCAGTGTTCTTTTGATTCAATGTGGGCGTAGCCAATTAGTCACGAGTACAATTCAGTACTGCCTTCATCGTGCCTTGCAGTGCTCTTGGAGCCCAGACGCCGTGGAAAGGCTTCTCATATCCCTCATATTCCATTGTTCTAAAGATGACAAACACGACAGAGCCATACAAGATCTGCATGCATCTTTCAAAGGTAGGTCTTGTTCTAACTTTGTTGTCGTACGGCTTTGTGCGAATTACTTTCCTTTCTGTGTAGAACTACGTGACGTGGAATTTGAGCTTCTCAAAGCTCCGGCCACAGCTTGCATCACTGTGCGTGGTTGCTCCATTCGGCTCATTGAATTATACCGGAATTTTCAAACATTTCTATAGCTTTTATGGCAATACGGTGATCGCCATTACCATGCGGGGCGATGGAACGAAGCTGCGGATTGGTTCACCTGTGGCACACATTCTATATTTACAAGTTTAGGACCTGTCAGCAGCTCAAAGTGTTTTCGGAAGGCTGCCCTAGCGCATCTTAAGCAAAAGGACTACGCTCACGCGGGGTCCATCATCCGCCAGCTGTCCTGACACAGAAGCCACGACACAATATGTAAAGTTTCTTATTGCGGTTTATCAAGGTCTGCAAGGGGCATTGCCTCATAGCGTGATTTTATCTCATTTTATTCTAATTTCAGGACTGGAAGACGAAGGTATCTCCATTCTGAAGCACAGCTGGTCGCCTCTAATCGGTCGGTCACTTATCAGCGATAAATACAATACGCAATATGGTTCACGCCGTGAACTTCGATCGCAAGATGATTTTATTGGCCTGCCGGCTTGCACATGACTTGGACATGAAAAATCTTCTTCTAAACGTGCTGAAGGCTCTTCTTGAAACGTTAAACCTCCGAGAGAACGTGGGGAACAGCACTGAAGCCATGACATTGGTAAGATGTATTATCAGGCTTATTGTGAAACTCCTTGGAGAACCTGCTGCCGATTTGTGCGTTTTTGTGGCGTCGAGCACCGAGATACTGGCTGAAATCGTATCAGGAACCGTTTAGTGGCGGCATTACTTCACCACCTGAACATTGGTTGGTCGAAATTTATGGAACCACTCACGTATTCTAACACGGTGGTAGCGGTGACTGTGGCAGAATCCTGTGAACAGCCAGCCATGCTTTCAAGAGATGTATCCTGGCTCTGGAGGACTGCATATAATTGTGCTATCCAAGCTTGTTCCGATTGGGAAGACAGAGAAGATCAAATATCTGACATCTTTGACGCAGCGAGACGAGTCAGTGACTTTCTGACGACTATTCTTCCTGGGGTTAATCAGATCACGCAGCTTCTCGAACTCTACACTCTACACGCAACTGTAGACGTGGACCAAGCTATCTATATTTACTTGGTGAATGCCTCATTTGCATCCGCTTCGGGCCGTGGTACGTACCCTCAATCCTACCTGGAAAACTACGGCGGCCATAACCATCTGCACAGTTATGTCTTTCAGACGTTTGCGGTCGCAGACGGAATCGATTGATGTACAGTCAAGATCCTCCTTCGAAACCTTCTACTGATTTATTTCAGTCTGGAAAATACCGCGATTTGTTTAACAACATCAATCAATCATTACAACGTATTAGCAAGGTTTTGCGAGAAGAGAAGGTATCACAAGAAGACCTTCCTCGACTTGAATCATCCTTGCAGATTTTACGAGTTTTCATAGTCGAAGTGGCATCTCACCTGTCAGATTGGACCACGGTCTTGGCCACCATTGAGGAACGTTATAATTCCCTCATTTACAGGTCAGACAACTTATTCTACATGCAGGAAGCATCTCGCTCTGATCGCGATTCGTTGGAGACGTACGAGGCATTCGCGGACGCTCTAGTGAGACACAATAGCTCTTTCTGCGCATGACTTCTTCAATGTTACTCCTAGTGGGAAGACAAAAACTGTCCCATACACGGTAGATATCATTTTCAACTTCGCGATCAAATTCATGCTAACCAAACCTAGTCCTTTTCACAGCGCTAGAGGTAGGTCCGCGCGGAAGTCGTCAATTCCTCAACTTGATTATGCGTTGTAGGCCACACTTCATGCGTGCTTGGCCCGCGGACACTTTTCTTTGGAGAAATTTGCTCGTTGGTTACGAGCGATGTGCATTATACTACTGACAAGAGCGACAGGAGCCGATCGATCCAAGGCGATTAGATACGTGGATCAAGCTATCGCTGTCCTGGAGGAGCACGGCGACGCTAGGAACGGCGGTGAACTGGTAAAATTCCGGTCTCGCAGTGTATCCTGGCTCACTTATTAATACGGAAAGCTCTATCCTCTGGACGAGCGTCAGTGGCTTCTGAGCACAGCGTACAACACTGGCCTCGAGTGTCTCCAGTCAGTGAATATCTCATGGGATGTATGCTGACACATGATTCATCTACCTCAGTGCGTCCATGGTTGATGAAGCAAAGCGTTGGTTCGAATGCTCCACCATTATCTGTCGCTTCGTTCCCGATGGTCGGCAACGTGCAGAAAAGGTAGGCAAAATACAATGTGAAATTAGACTTTACCGCATCCCGCAACAGATATCGACAACCTATAGCGACCTCTTAGCACGCTACCCGACTAGATGAAGCGATTACATGACCATCAAACAGCTTTAACACCGCGACTGTGTATTATTATGTGTGTTTGTTCTTGTATCTTAACAAAGACCAATGGACTTTGCATTTTTTATTGCTGTGAGAAATGACGCAGCTGATAGAGTAGTACACGACCGCGAGTGTTGCCAATAGCCAGATACTCGCTCTCACGGGAGAAATCGACAGAGGTTACATGTCCGAGAGGGGTACTTGACGTGGGCCAGTTCCCAAACGCTGTCAATGATGGGCAATGGACCTATATGCAGGAAGTTGAATGAATGAAAGCTTGGGAAAGATGCAATATTGACGCACCATCCGCATCTGATCTTTTTTATCGTTGCTTGCGATAGCAAGTAACTGGGAGTCATGATTGAACCGCAACGTTGAGATACTTGTTGTCAAGTTCCCAATCGTCTTTAGAGTCTTTGGTTTGCCTCCCTCAAGATCGATCGTACTCTCTGCGTTGTAGACATTGACCAAACCTGTATTTGAACTTGGGGCCATTTGTCAATGGGACACCCGCCTCACAAAATGAAAACGTACCCAACGGTCAGATATTTTCCTTGGCTATCTCCACCAAATAATCGACTGCCGAATCCGCCTTCATCCTGCCATCGTTTTACGCATTTGCGCTGGCCAATATTCCAAACATAAACTTGTGAATCTTCCGTCAAGCCCAGAAGCTCGCCTGCTCCGGCCTTCGACCACCACAGTGACTTCACATTCGTGTTTGCCTTGAGTTCGCCCACGACTTGCGCTGCACCTGACCGCCAATCGACAAGATGAACCTGGCCTCGCCGTCCTGCAACAGCAAGAATTTCTCCTGTCGGATTGAAGGAAGAGATCTCCATGCTCGCGCCCTGGTCCCCACGACCCGAAGAGAATGTGGTACCCCATAAACCTCGAGGGGAGCGGTGGGACGCTCCAGACTGAAGGTCGTACGTATAATAGAAAGGTCGTGGCCCAGTCATCAATATGGACGTGCCGCTGGGGTGGAAAACGGCATTGGTGATAGGAAGTGATGGGACGTGAAGAGTTTGGGCATGAGGATTTGTGAGGCCATCGATCTATCGACCGAGTTCAAGTTCAAGTACGAAAACATGAGAAGTAATACTCACGTGGAAAAGTCGCAGGCGGCGGTCTGCACTTGCAGTCAAAAGGACGGGAATGTGAGGAGAAGGATGAAATGCGACCGTTTGTATTTCGCCGTCCGCTGGCGCAGCTTGATTAGCATCTCGCAATCGCTCAATAGAAAGCGTGCTTGGGGGTATAGTTCTTGACTTGGCAGTCGCCAAAATTCCAGCCGTTGATGCCAGTAGCTCCGGCACAACATCCTCTCCACTCTCAGATCCAGAAACCGATGATCGTCGTCTCTTTCCACGTTCCCTTTTCTTGCGCGCAATGGATGCCCAGTCTGGAGTGGGATTTATGTGCTCGAATTGCCTGCGTAATCTGCGTTCGTATTCGCGTCCTCCCACTGTATCATCAGACGGCGCATCGCGCAGTTTGCGAAGACGGTTATTTGATGCGAGTGAGACCTGAACGTTTACATCGTCTGGGTCTGTCCATGCGGGAGCTTTTGTTTTTTGGGGCTGCTGGGGAATTTCTTGGTGAATAATGGAGATTTCTTCGTCTTCATCACTTTCTGGAACCTCCGGTATTATGGGTTCTTCGTCATCATCCGCATCAGACTGTACATGGTCTTGAGGACCTTGGCTAAGCTCGGATAGTCCAGCGTTATCGTCCACGAAAAAAAGCTATAGGTAACGTGAATAATGAAGGGTAAATCCAAGTAGTTCTGCACATACATCCGAGTCGAGCAAATTTTCAAACTCTCGTCCTACTTCATGTGGCCCATCCTCTGCTTCCTCATCGGACACAACCAAAATTTCCTTCCCAGCCTTCTCAGGAGCATACGGGACGCCGAATAGCAAGTTTTCGAGACGCCTCTCCTCGTCGTCTTTACTGGTGTCATTGCGCAGGTCAGCACCAAGCGGGACTATTTTATGTTGTGGTTTTCCTGTCTTTTGACGTTTCCGAGGATTTTTGACCATCGTGACACAATGTTATCACTAGTGGTAGTGGTAAGGCTTGGTGGATGTTGTGAGCAATAACATTCATCGAAAACCGGGTGGCTGTGTAGAACTTAACGATTTCTGCCATCTACCATCAATCAACATCAAGCGCTAGTTCGCCATCGTTCTATATACAGGCTTGAATCTGATCATTCGCCGCACATAACTTTCAAATCTATATGGAACCTGTCGAGGATCAGAGTTCTTCGCAGTCAGGTGCGGTGGCTCCTTTACTGAGATCGTCATCAGGCATGTATCACGATCTCATCAGGTTGTCTTTACCCGGAACCAACTGAGTATCAACCGTCTGTCGCGGATGTCCTACGGTTAAAACGGTACCTGCAACGCAAGCTTCCTATGGAGCTTATTGAGAGGATTATCGACGAGGCATCTTACTGGCCACACAGTACGCTTTACATCGAGCGGCCTATCACCGTTCCACTTTACAGGGAAGGAAAGCGTTCTGAAGAAGGGATATTTATAAGGACGCTCCCTCTTGGCGTTCACGGTACTGAGGGCGAATTCAGGATCCTCGAGAAAGACTTCGAGGCCGATGGGGCAGCTTGGGAGAGGAAGCTGCTACTTGGCGGACGAGACGACACCTTACCATCCGCGCCGATGCTATCATCGCATCCGTGCAGAAAGATAGAGTTCCAGAATTGGACTCATGATCAAAGATTGAGGAAGCAGTTTCCTCATACCTTCACCGCATCATACGTATGGTGCGATGTCAGCATAGAGAGATTGGAGACGCCCATCTCTGACACCATCGAATGGCCGGCGCGCTTTCTTTTCAACGAGTGTAAAACAGAACTATCAATTATCCCACAAGACACCGGGAGTCCATTATTTCCCCTCAGCACGAAACTCTCAAAAAATCTCGCGGCAAAGACCTCGGGATCAGATCACACCATGTTTTGGCACGCCAGCGATGCATTTGACAAGGATGCTGACGGTGACTGCTTTTGGCATTTTCTTGACAATACCTTTGACAGGCAAGACGCCAAGACAGCAGAGGTGGGGAAAATGGTGCGCAGCTTGCGAGTAGGAGATTGCATGTCCCTGTTTGCTCATTCTCGGTTTCCCAACTCTGAAGGTAAAGTTCATCAGGCCAGGGTCAGTGTGTATTGGGCTGTGTAGCATATCATAATATCCCCCCCAATTCCAAAGCATGTTGTACCTGGCAGATGTACTACCTCCTTCAATTTTCTGTTACTTACGAGCCAAGCTCATTTACAGCACTTGCTACGCTATAGAGAAGAATCTGTTCACTACAATTTCCACACGTTATAGTGTATCCATTCCATCCTACGACCGTCGAATTAGTGCAGGCAACTTAATTGGCTGAGCCCCTTACTGCAGAAACCCTCCGTATGACTCAAGCCTCCGATGCAACTAATGCAATTGAACAGATTATGATGAGAGCAAGACCACATTATCTCGCTCTCATCATAATCTATTCAGTTCTAGGGACTCCGAGTCGGAGATATACTCAAGTCTAGCGAAATCAACAATTCAAACACAACTTTGAAGCTTCCCAGTTGCCAGTGAATAATGACTGTGTCGCAGACATTGTTACAACTAAAACGGGTCTTGCGACCCAAGCTCACTACGTGACAGGATTACCGACGAAGCATCTTGCTGGGCTAGCTCAGATCAGTCTGCCTTGAACGCTCGTCGAATCAGCATTCCCATGTGCAAAGACAATATGTTGTGGATGGCATACACATTACTTCTTAAGTGGACTTCACGGCACTGAGACAGACTTCCGACTGGACTACAAAGGTGTAGTAGTCACTGCAGACGACCCATCATGCATCATGCCCCATAACCACGGTATCACATCCCTTCAGAAATATCGAGATACTGCTTTTAAATTGATAGCAAATACTGGAGTCGGGGACAGATGATGATGTATGAGGTTAGCTTAGGGAAGTTGCACTAATAGAGGTCTGTCCTCACAAAGTAATGATTGAATGGCCAGCGTGTCTTCTGGTCAAAATTTTCGACCCCAAGGCCGCCATTTCAAGTGTTCAAAGCCACGACATCAGACTATTCGTTCCTCCCGATCCGATACTTCACAATATTGATGCTGTGACGCCGAGCAGGACGCCAAATATTATAGGACACCATTAACGTTGTCCGGCACTTTCTCAATTCCTGCGACGAAGAACCTGCAGAGACCATTACGAGATATGGTCGTGGCCTGCAGGCTCTGAATGTACAGTTGTCACGCAGTTTGCAAGCAGGATATTGTGTTACCCTGCAGGCTCGAATTAGTATTGTCACATTGTTCCTTATTTGGTGCCGTACGCATAACCAAAAGGACAAGATCACGATATGACACCACGGCGCCTAACGTGCGGCTGGAAGATGATTCAAGCGATTTGCCAAGATGTCTAGCCGCATGAATGGTCTGAAGATCCGGGCTGCGTTCTTTGACAAGCATTAGGTACGATCCACACAAGTCAAGGGTCGAGATCACTAACAAAGGGAAACATAATGGTTTCTCTTGAAGCGACTCGTGAGACCATGATCGGCTTGGCTGTCTGTCAGAGTACTTGATCGCGCCAAGAAACCCACGACGGCCCTTGCATTAGCACAAGACTTCCTTTGAGTACTGATCTTGGAGTTGTTGTGCACAAACCTAGTCCAGGTACCAGACGACATAGGTGACATCCGCGGTATTCACGGATGCTCCGTAATTGAACCGCACCAGCCATTTCGTAGTAGGATACTCCGATATGTAAGCAATACGTGGTTGTCGGCAGGAGGAGCTATAGTCACTAGGCGGACTCCATGCTGTCCGGCGAAATCGTGCAACCTGCAGAATTAGCCATAGACAAATCATCCCACTCATACCTGTTTTCCGTGAGAGATGACGATTCCTTCTCGTGGGTTACTCGAGTAGACTCATCAACTTGAGTGCACCTCGCTTGATTTGAGGCAGCTACATTCTCATGGGACCTTTTTCGTGGTAGTTCCGTCTCACGAGTTTATTCCCAGTCAGGAAAGGGCGGGATGATCGGGTTTTGGGGGTATGATGTGGTTCCGATGTCGAGCGCTTGGGGGTCGACTTCCTTGCACAGCGGGCGTTCCTATGGAGTAGGCCGGCATCACAAGAGCACAAGGGCACTTTGATTTCATTACACGAGAAGTTTTAGTGAAGTTTTTTAGTTGGCCAAATTTGTTGCCACCATAGCATCGTGACGAATCGCGGCCTCCCCAGTTGAACTGCATTTGGTTTTTTTGTCAGCCCTGTTGCCAGTTACTACAATCCTAATTAGAGTTGACATCTGTACGTACCCATATATGAGATATTGATATGAGTCGGTTTGGAGCAACGTATAGCTATTAGCAAACGTACAGCACAAAATATCTTAACGCATTAACAAGGCTTTTACTAGTATGGAGGGTTCAGCTGAGCGATGAAGACCACTGACTTGCGATTTGCAGCGTCAAGGAAATTTTAAGGAATGTCCGCGGTTTACTCCGTTTGAAAGAAGACGGCAGACTTACTATTAGCCGCTTTCCCCCGGTCCGCGCCCATTTGAGCTTCAAGGCCACTCAGTCTCAGCCAGCTGCCAGCCAGACTGTACCGTGATCTGTACTTCTATTTTTCTCTCGTAGCAGCACATTGTCCTTTCCTGCGCTGGAATCATCCGAGACACGCCAATCAATAGCACTGCCAGCGTGTTGATACTTGTTACTGCTTTACTCTGGAGCATCTGAATCAGCGCGACTCCCACTCAACTGCCTCATCCATCATTCAATCTGTTCTTCAATTATAGGACTTCGCTATTGCATTCGTAGCTCTAGAGCCTCACATTCATTTCTGCTCTAGACTAAGAAATCATGGGTGCATGCATGTCGACAGGGGGGATGGTGGATATCTCGGATGATGATAAGCGGAGGCATAGAGAAGCGGAGAAATATCTCAAGGAAGTGAGTCTGCAATGCGACGATGCATTCTGCACATGTCCTGGTAACATGATATTGACCATATCTATTATTTAGGCCAAGGCCAAGATGGCTTCCCAGGTTAAGGTACGGTTGACGCCCAGCTCTCGTATGTTATTCACCATTATGTATAATACCTAGGTTCTTCTCCTAGGGTCTGGCGACTCAGGAAAATCGACAGTTCTAAAGGTAAGTCATTTTTACCAGTCACCTGCTGTCATTTCACGAGGCTTATTTCGTAGCAAATGCGACTGATTCATCGGGTACCCTTCTCACCAGGAGAAGTTGAGACTTATCGTCAACTAGTGTTCAACAACCTGACGACAGGTCTGAATTACGTGTTCGAGGCCATGGAAGATATGGAGCTCCACCTTGCGGAGGAGAACTTACCACACATGGAACTCATTCAGAATGCTCGGGATATTCGTGAACAAGAGCCTTTTCCTATGTTATACTACGAGCCCTTGAGGGATCTTTGGGCTGACAGCGGGGTACAACAGGCGTATGGAAGAGGGAACGAGGCTGCTCTTCCTGAAAAGTGAGCCTCGTGTTTTGTGCCTTGCTTCCTCCACGCCTTACAATTCCAACCACAGCTTGTCGTACTTTTTCTCCTCGCTGGACAGATTATTCGACCCATCATATCATCCAACCGAACAAGATATCGTCCAGTGCCGAGCTCGCACTATTGGAATAACCGAGACAACTTTCCATCTTAAAGACCACGAAATGCTCATGGTCGACGTCGGTGGTCAGAAGAGCGAGCGGAGGAAATGGATTCACTGTTTCCAGGATGTCACCAGTATTCTATTTCTCGTCAGTCTAAGCGGGTATGATCAATGCCTTGTCGAGGATCGAGATGCGGTGAGTTGCTTTACACCTTGTGCTCTGTCTGAAGACGAACCTTCGGTTTCTTATTCCAGAACCAAATGCAAGACGCTATGACAATATGGGATTCAATATGCCATTCGCAATGGTTCAAGCAGACATCGATAGTACGTCAGGTTGTCCTCGTTATTTTGAATGCCTTTCACGCGTGCTACCGCATTAGATTCTCTTCCTTAACAAGGATGACCTCTTCCAAAAGAAGATCGTGAACTCTGACATCAAAAACTTCTTTCCGGTGAGTCTTTTTCCTCCGACTGGCTCATCGTACTCAATTTACCTCAGGACTACGAGGGTGAATCAGGGGACGCAAAAGCTGGACGAGACTATTTCCGGCGACGTTTCACGCGACTCGCTCACAAAGCTGGACGTTCCAAAGAACGCGAAATCTACATTCAGTACGCATTTTCTCTTATTCACTGAAGTCGCAACCTTAACGCTAGAAAGTGTAACGACTGCGACAGACACGGAAATGTTGAGAGTAGTGATGGCCGCTGTTGAAGGTTAGTTACTATGCGGATATTTTTAGGATTGAGTGACTAATTTCTTTCCTCCCAGAGTAAGTTCGTCCTTCTATTGATCCTTCCCCCGCCCGCCAGTGATGTCGTCCAACCGTACGCTCATCCATTTCCCACCACTCTTCCCTTTCCTTTCATAGCATCGTTCTTCGATCCAATCTCCAAATCGCGGCACTAATTTGATGTTTCTTTTTTTGCTCTTCATCTTACGATTTATCCATGTCATCATCAACGCATCTCGCTATCGTGCTCAAAAACATAATGCTATCGCCGGGACACAAACTTGCATACTCAATTTTCAACTATAATTTTCCTCTACAATCTTACCATTGCAACCAATCTCTACTGGCCCATCACGTAACTGTCCGATTCTGCGGGCTTCTTTTGCATTGTTCGAAAAAATCAGTGCTGTCATAAGCAAAAACGTGAGTTAGCCCCCTCTTCGATTGCGAAATTTTTTTCGCAGGAACGCTGATGCCGGCTACCTTGTCGCCAGATCCGCGAAATCATGCTCTGAAGATTGTCGCTCCAATTGGAGCCTAATGATGATTAGGCCGCAGGCACAATGTAGCAGTACCCAGGAAGCGGAACCCATTTGTGGCAGCATACCATCTAAAACAGGAAGACACCCCGCTCGCCTCAACGACTGGTTAGCACTTTTTCACTCATTACAGAGCAATGTGCCTTCACTTGTCGTCCTTCACACATGTCGTATGTCTTCCCTTTGACATTTCTCCCAGAGCTATCGTGATCAAACTGCTATACATGCCGCACCTACTA